GGCTTGATCAGGACCTGAAGGCACGTGTAAGTTGCATGAGGAAGTGGTCCAAATGCCTATGGTCTCCACTCCCATCACATTACCTTCCCTCTCCCAGTCTGCACCTATGGCCTCATAGGGAGTTCCTTATGATCAGTTGACTAAGAAAGAGAAAACTTGTGCATAGTTTACAGATGGTTCTACAAGATAAGCAGGCACCACTCTAAAGTGGAAAGCAGTGGCAACTGCAGCCCCTTTCTGGGACTTACCTGAAGGACACTGGTGAAGGGAAATCCTCCCTGTGGGCAGAACTTCAAGCTGTGCATCTGACTATTCACTTCACAAGTAACAAAAAATGGCCAGATGTACAATTGTATACAGATTTATGGACTGTGGCCAATGGCTTGGCTGGGTGGTCTGGGTCTTGGAAGGAGCATGATTGGAAAATTGGTGACAAGGATGTATGTGGAAGAGGTATGTGGGTAGATGTCTTTGAATGGGCCAAAGGAATAAAGATATTTGTGTCTCATGTGAATGCCAACCAAAAGGTGACCTCAGCAGAGGAAGACTTTAACAATCATGTGGATAGGATGACACGTTCAGTGGAAACCAGCCCCCCTTTTTCCCCAGCTACTCCTGTCATTGTTTGATGAGCTCATGAACAAGTGGCCATGTAGCAGGGATGGAAGTTATACATGGGCTCAGCAACATAGACTTCCACTTACCAAGGCTGATTTGGTTACCGCCGCTGCTGAGTGCCCAATCCGTCAGCAGCAGAGACCAGTACTGAGTCTGCAATATGGAATCATTCCTTGGGGTGATCACCCAGCAACCTGGTGGCAGGTTGATTACATTGGACCACTTCCATCATGGAAAGGACAGGGTTTTCTTCTTATTGGAATAGATACTTATTCTGGATGTGGATTCACCTTCCTTGCATGCAATGCTTCTGCCAAAACTACCAACCATGGACTTCCAGAATGCCTTATCCATTGTTATGGTATCCCACGTAGGATTTCTTCAGATCAAGGGAGTCACTTCATAGCAAATGAAGTGCAGCAATGGGTCTATGCTCATGGAATTCATTGGTCTCACCATGTTCCCCATCATCCTGAAGCAGCTGGCTTGATAGAACGATGGAATGTCCTACTAAAAGCACAATTATAGTGCCAGCTAGGTGGCAATACCTTGAAGGGTTGGGGCAATGTTCTCCAAGAGGCTGTATATGCTCTAAACCAGCATACAATATATGGTTCTGTTTCTCCCATAGCCAGGATTCACGAGTCTAGGAACCAAGGGGTGGAAACAGGAGTGGTATCACTCACTATTACCCCTAGTGACCCACTCAAAAAATTTTTGCTTCCTGTCCCTTCTACCCTATACTCTGCAAGTCTGGGGATCTTAGTCCCAAAAGGAGGGACATTCCCACCTGGAAACACAATACTGATTGCATTGAACTGGAAGTTAAGAATGCCACTGGCCATTTTGGCTTCCTCATGCCTCTAGATCAACAGACAAAGAAGGGTGTTACTGTTCTATTTGATGTAATAGATCCTGATTACCAAGAGGAAATTGGATTGACATTGCATAATGAAGGTAAAGAATATGTCTGGCATACAGGAGATTCTTTACAACGTCTCTTAGTACTACCATGCCCTGTGATTAAAGTCAATGGAAAAATACAGCGACCCAATCTGATATGACTACTAATGGCCCAGACCCTTCAGGAATGAAGGTTTGGGTCACCCCACCAGGCAAAGAACCACAACCAGCTGAGGTGATTGCTGAGGGCAAGGCAGAAACAGAATGGGTGGTGGAAGAAGGGAATTCTGAATATCAGCTACAACCTTGTGACCAGTTGTAGAAACAAGAACTGTGATTGTTATATTTCTTCATTGTTTTTGTGCATTAATTATTTTTGTTTCCTTCTGTTGTAAACTATAAAATATAAACAGGGTTAATGTGTTTCAGTTGTACGCATGTTAGTATATCATGTTAGGTGCAAATATGACTTTTTAATTGTCCTTATTTAGAGATTATATATGGTTAAGAAGATGTGAACAACTGCCAAGTTGACAAGGGGTGGACTGTGATAGTTGGAGTTGTGTGTCAACTTGGCTGGACTACAATTCTGAATGGTTTAAGCAGTTGTTATGTGGGTTATTCCCATGATGAGATCGGATACATAAGTTTTGAGCTGCCAATCCATTGAAAGGAAATGTGGCCTGCTTCCAATGTATTTATGGACATCCTGAGAAAAAGAGACACTCTTCTGTGGACCTGGATCCTGTTGTGCTGCCTGTAACTGTCCGTGAGCAAAGAATCCACCATTTAGTCTGGAGATCTTGGATTCATCATTTGTCGGAGTCAACAGCTGGTATACTGTCTGCCAACCTTGAGCTCGTCAGCCCCTGCAGCTGTGTGAGTCGAGAAAGCCTCCAGCTTGTTGTTTGATCCAAGAACTTGGGACTTGCCAGCTTCTATAAGTGTGTGAGCCATTTTTCTAAGATGAGTTTATTTTTTCTTTCTCTCTACATATAAGCTTTACTGGTTTTGCTTCTCTGGAGAACCCAGCCTAACACAATTTTCTTGTGAAAAACCTGAAAATATTATGTGAATACTCTTTTTAATTGAATGTTAGAATCTATCTCAAAATAATGTTCCATGATGCCAACTTATAAGTCAATTTTGGCACAGCAATTTAAAGCCAACACCTGGATTATTACCTTTCAAATTTAATAAATATCTTGTCTGATTATAATTTATCATGCTTCCTACTTGAATTACAGATCACTTATTCTTACTAGTATATGTAGCAAGGTGTATAATAAATAGTAGATAATAAAAAGTGATGCTTTTCATTACATAGTCGGCTTTCACTATATACATATTTAGTGTTCTTTCCAACAAAAGCTAATATGTAAGAATTAGAATGTTGATTGAACTAAATCACAGATTGCATACAAAAAATTTTATCCACCAGGAGTTATTAAAATATGACTTCTTTATGAGCTTTCCTCCTAAATCTGAATGATAAAATAGTTTTTCTGTAGTGTTATATGTGACAGAACATAATACTGAGAGTGAATTTTCTTATCTAAACTTCTGTATTTATACTTTTATAACTCTAATGGTAGAAACATATAAAATATGTGTTTGCTTAATATTTATAATTAGTGTAGTCTGAATAGTGATTCCAATTCTTTACATTTTAAGGTACTCCTCTTATTTTGTTTATTTTAATTTCAATTTTAAAACCAAAATTAGCCAAGAACAAAATTACCAAGATTTTAAGATGACCCTAAAAAGCAATATGAATTTTTATTTGCTTTTACAAAGCCATAATGCTCTTCTTCAGGAGCTCTGGTGGCATAGTGCCTATAGCATTTGACTGCTAACCAGAAATCTGGCTGTTCAAATCCACTAGCCAGTCCTCAGAAGGAAGTTTGGACGATCTACTTCTGTTGTGATACTGCCTTGGAAACCCAAGGAGGGGTTGCTATGAGTCAGATCTGACTGGATGGCAGTGACTTTGGTTTTGGTTTTAATTCTTTTCTTTACCATGATAATGATGCAATCATTTTGTCAGTCTTTTGGCATAAATTCATTGAAATTGTAACTGCACATTAATTTTACTTTCTATGAATGCTGAATTCATGAACTTGAATAGGATCCATGTGTGATCTTGACTGAAATGTCAATTTAAATCTGTTATACTGTAAGAACATTCATCCCTGATGCTATCTTTCCTATGTATTTGAAACCAATATTACCTTTCTCATAAAGCAATGCTTCAAAATTATATTCTTAATAATTATTCACTCATTTCATACTTATTGGCTGGCTTAACATTAATAATAGTAAATTTATTTGCTGTTTATTTGCATGCCATTAGTATTACACTTCTAATCCTGCTCTATAAATCTTTTTTCATTAACTGACCAATTAATTACATAATGATGCTCGCCATCTAAGTTCTTCTTCGAATTTTCAACAATTACATAAAACGGTCTATGATGAAGTCTGAATTCTGAGAATGTTATACCTAGAATGCTTTAATTTAACCTAAAACCTAGAGTAAAGGCCAAACTAAATATAACTAACTTCTCTCAAATGGAATTAAGTTTTCCTTGACTCTTTCTTAATTGACTTTTGGATTTATTTGCACACATTTGTTTTCAACATAGGAATTCTGAAGTATCATTTCTTAACAAATTTTTTACATATATTGTGTCTTTATATTTATGTATAATTTATATTTGCTCTAGTTTGAAATGTGCTTTAAGGTAAATACAAATTTATATGCAGAATTTTTAAAATGCCATTAAAAGAGAGATCATAAACTGTACAGAAGGAACTAGGAATTATTCAACTGGAAGCAAGAATGAGATAATTACTGAAATTTAGTATTTGATTTGACCATGACTTGTATGACTGTTAAGGAAAAAGATAACATTTTCATCACTTTATTGAGAAAGACAAAGTTTTATCAAATTTTTAGATACCACAGTAGCTCTGTTTTTTTGTGGCCATAATTGTCTTCCTTCAACCCTTCATCTTCTTCTTCATCAGGTTACATAGTATCACCTTATTTAAAGAACTTATTATGTAGTGAGTAGGGAATTCTGTTTTCTCTGAATCATACACTGATTATTTAAAATTTTAGCTATCACTAATTAAGTGCCTACAATGTGAGAAGAAAATAACAGACACTGCATTATCTCTAATCCTTGCAAAAATCCTTCAAGATTGTTGCTTTTTTGTCAGTAATGAAACTAATGATGAAAACTGAGACAAAGATAAGTTAAGTAATGTTCATAAGGTCCAAAGCTAATGTGGGCAGAATTATTTTACCAAATTCCAATAGCACTTTGTAATTTGAATATCTCATTGTGTATAATGCTTCCATTTTTTAAGATTTCATGCTTATATAATAACTCTATAAGCTTTTTCACAGCTACTCAAAAAGGGGAAATATATTGGACTGTTTGACATTTGAATGTTACTGTGTTCTTTTGCAGCCTGTGAACTCATGAATCAAGGCATCCTCGCTCTTGTCAGCTCCATTGGCTGTACGTCAGCAGGGTCCCTCCAGTCTCTGGCAGATGCCATGCACATACCCCACCTTTTCATACAGCGTTCAACAGCTGGGACCCCACGGAGTGGCTGTGGACTCACCAGGAGTAACAGAAATGATGACTACACCCTCTCAGTTCGCCCACCAGTCTACTTGAATGATGTTATACTGAGAGTGGTCACAGAGTATGCCTGGCAGAAATTCATTATATTCTATGACAGTGAATATGGTAAGTGTTTGTGTGAGTATTGTAAGGTTCCTATTTGCATAAGAAATAACATCATAAGTCCTGAAAAATATCTAGAAGCTTACTCATTGCTTTTGTGGAATTCTTGTCTTTTCATATTTTTCTTATAAAGCTAGCAACAATAACAGAAAGTGTTGCTAAGGTATCAAGGTCAATCTTTTTATGTTAAATTCTTTTGATGTCAAATTAAAAAAGAAAAAAAAAATACCTGTGCCTAATGCTAAGTTTAGGAGCTCTGGTGGCTTAGTGCCTAAGGCACTTGACTGCTAACCAGAAGGCTGGCGGTTCAAACCCACCAGCCACTCCTCAGAAGGAAGATGGAGCAATTTACTTCCATAGTGATACTGCCTCGGGAACCCAAGGAAGTGTCGCTATGAGTCATTTCCAACTCCATGGCACACAACAAGAAAAATGCTAAGTTTATAAATGTTTCTAAAGGAAATCTGACTCTGATATATCTCGGAAATTTGCAAATACGGGGCAGTCAATAATACATTTTAATTACTGTATTTCTCCCTTTCCAATAAATCTTATACCTCTATTTAAAAAGGGAGCTCTGGTAGCATAGTGGCTAAAGCACTTGACTGCTAACCAGAAGGCTGGCAGTTCAAACCCACCAGCCACTCCTCGGAAGGAAGGTTGGGCAATCCTACTTCTGTAGTGATACTGCCTCGGAAACCCAAGGAGGGGTCGCTATGAGTCGAGGCCGACTCGACGGCACATAACAACAACAACAATAAAAAAAAAAAAAGAAAAAAAGCAACTCACTGCCATTGAGTCATTTTTGACTCATAGCGACCTTCATTGGGTTTCAGAGGCTATATATCTTTACAGAAGCAGATCATCCAGTATTCTTTTGTGGAACAGCTGGTGGGTTTGAACCACTAACCTTCCAGTTAGCAGTCAAATCTTTTATCTACTACACCACCAGAGCTCCTTATGACAATAAAATGCCATTTTGGACAGATCCTAAAACCCTGGAAAAAAATCTATTTTATTAATTTGTTAAAAAAATAAAATGACAGTCTTGCTTATAGCTTTGTGTAGACTCGAATATCTACCCAGTACTGAACTCTTTGGGGTCACTGATATTATATTACTTTACAATTACTACTGAACATTATCTACAGTATGAAATCTAACAAAAATGCAGGGAGCATAACAGCATTTATATATTTAATTTGGCAAAGTAAAATAAAAAGCATTGTCTCCAAATTTACTGTGATTTGAGTGAAAAAAAAAAAAAAACTTTGCTTCAAATTTTGAGTGCCAAGGTAAGAAAAGAAAACAAAATAATAAAAATATTTTTTATTAAATATGTTTTTCTCTGTTTATCTACCTGTCTTCTAACTAACCTATCCCCAAGATGAGCAAGTATAATTGCCCCTTGTTTTTGTCACTAGAGAGGGAAAAAAGGGAGTAGAGATGAGGATGGCCAAAGAAGGACAAATGAACAGATCTTGGTAAAGAATATATATTTGAAACATGGTTATGTCTTAAGAAAGAGACTCAGAAAAATAGTGCATTCAATATGGATGGACTTACTTTCACATATTAACATAAGGAAATCAGAAAAGATTTTGCCCTCGGTGGTGTAACTTTTTTCTTAGTCCACAAAAGTAAAAGTAATAACAATAAATTAATAATAATAAAGTAATAATAGTAAACTGTTTCCTTGTCATAATCTGCCCAGCATTGTGAACAGTATTCGAGTATAGTCACCAGAAGAATGAGCCAGAAAGTAACATCAATAGAAATAAGCACAAACAGCTTGGCGGAAATCTGAGAAGCATCAAATAAGTGCTCCTGTGGATCCAGAGAGGGGAAGCAAGTGGCAGTTACTTTCAGGCCCAAATATTCAAAGGTCACATGGGGTTTTGGCAATCAGAGTTCTATTAAACTTAATGAATAGGCTTCAGCCAAATATCTATGACACTCTAGAAACACACTCCTTTGTCTGCAGCACGGAAATCCGTAGTTTGATGCCTTATTTCATATTGTTTAGGGATCACAAAAAAAAAAAGAAAGAAACTGAAATGAATAAAATAAACAGAAAAAGGAAATAGGAAATAGTTGGCTCATCAGTAAAAGTGAGGCTAGAAACCATATTCAAGTCTGATATTGATGGATATGATTATTTATTGAGCTTAGTAAACTTCTCATTTCTGGAAATCAACATGCTTAGTATGCCTTTGTCAAATTTCTTTCATTCTGATTATGTGTGTCCTTGTATAATTTTAAATGTCCTTAAAAATAACTTGAACTAATTAATTTTAAAAACCTATACCTTTCTTTCCTGCTAACCAGATGGCTGGCGGTTCAAACCCACCAGCCACTCCTCGGAAGGAAGGTTGGGCAATCCTACTTCCGTAGTGATACTGCCTCGGAAACCCAAGGAGGGTTCGCTATGAGTCGGGGCCGACTGGACGGCAAAACAACAACAACAACATACCTTTCTTTAAAAAAGGGGAACTTTTTTTAATTAGTTCTATGAAAAGAGATAGTTTTGTAAAATAAAGAATGGAAAAGTGTTTTTTGATGAAGGCATTCTCATAACCAAAAAGGAAAAAGGAGAGAGAGAGAGAATTTTACTATTTAACTATAAATTTTCATGAGGGAAAACAATCTTCACCTCCTTGCTAACTTGTTTCCAAGTCCTACATGGAATATTGGCAGAAAAGTCTTACAAAGGAAGACTTTTTTTTATTATTTATGAGATAAATGATGTTTTGAAAATATACACTAAATATATGGCCACAGGATCATTTGCATACATTTGAAGTCCCTTATTCTTTATTTTTCACTTTGCCTTTGATTTAATAAGATGCTATAATCATACAGTGTATGAGCAGATCCTCTGTTAGAAGCAGTGTTTATTTTCTGGGGAAAAAAAAAAAATTACCTTTACTCTGTGATAAACCTGCCTTTGACTTATTATTTAACTTAATAATTTATATTAAAAAAGTACCCTACTTTGTATCATTAAAATTAGTTCCAGGAATACCCTTGAATAATGAAAGAAAATTTTCCTTTGATACATACAGTACATCTTACTAGTAAAGAACTAGGCTAGAGCACAAAATAAATATCAGGCTATCCAGATACCTTGTACCTTGAAGAAGAGCTACATGTATTTACATATCCATTCATCAATGTCATCATTTTAAGTTCAAACACTGGAATTGTACTTGACTTTTATCTTGCTTATCAAGAATTACTTTCATTAAGGAATATATTAAGCATTATCTTTGGATGGAATCAGGCAGCCTACTGGGACCAAATGTTTTGGAGATGTATTTTCTAAGCACAATGCTTAGAAAAATATACTTAAAAAATACTTAGAATTCTATATCCAGTTAATTAGAGAAGCACCTTTACAAAAGCAGTTAATTATGAGTAAAGGCTCAGTATAAAAGTCTACTTTAAGTCCTATAACAAAGAAAATTCAAGTGTTTAATTCTAAACAAGTGGATGACAAGAAAGAAATGTGGAAACTTTATTTGAATGGATTGATTCAAGATATTTTTTAAAAAAGGTTTAAAAAGAAGTTCAGAAGTAGTGAGCTTTTATAAATGTATCATTTGGGAAAACACTTGTTCATTGCTCATTTGGTTAGCACAATGTATAAGGTACGAGATAAGCAGTTTTACACATTGTAGTCTTAGACTTTAAGAAGCTTACAATTACAAAAGAGGTAAAATATTTATATGGTTCTCTTAATAGACAAAATCATGAGTTAAATGTCGTAAATGATACAATCTGAATTCTGGTGTTATTAAAGAAGAGAGTGTTTAATTTTGGATACAGTGATCAAAGGCTTTATGAATAGTCTTTGATTTCAATTATAAAAGATAGGTGAATTTTGAGAGACAACAATGTGAAGGGAATAGACACTTCAATAGGGAGAATGTGTGACCAGCTCTTGGGTTAATTAAAATTTGAAAATAATATTTCTGAGCTTATTTATTGGCTAGGATATTGAGTAAGTATTTTACATTATATCATTTAATCTCCTCAGAGGTTAGTATTATCGTGATCTTAGAAATAGGAAAACTGAAACAACTAATAGGTAACTTGTTCACAGAAATGTAGCTACAAAGAGTCAGAGCTGATATTGAAAGTCTTACTAGAGCTCTTAACCATTTATGATGAGTAGAAAAAATGAACTTTCACCTGAGAATGTAACAAGAGCTAGACAAAAGCTTTCACTATGTGCCAGGTGCTGTTCTAAGTGTTTTACATGTACCATCTTATTTAATCTTCACAATAGCCTTCAGAGGTTGATATTATTCTTATTTATTTATTTTTACAAATGAAAATTTGAAGCAATGGAAAGTCAAGTACTTTTCAAGTAAGTCAAGAAGTCTGAAATCAATTAATGATAGTTTCATTTATAGTCCCTGCTTTCAACCACTAGAGTATGATGACTCTATACAAATAAGAGTAAGATTAATTCTGACTATGAAATAAAAAAAAAAAAAAAAAGTTACAAAAAAAAAAAAAAAAAAAACAAGCTCACTGCCATCGAGTCGAACCCGACTCATAACGACCCCTCTTTGGGTTTCCAAGGAAATATCGCTACAGAAGTAAATTTCCCAACCTTCCTTCTGAGGAATGGCTGGTGGGTTTGGACTACCAGCCTTCTGGCTAGCAGCCAAATGCCTTCAGCACTGTGACACCAGAGCTCAAGCCTGCAGATTTTAAACAGGACAGCTACCAGGACAAAGAAGGCAAATTCATCTGTATCAGGCATAGATAGCTGTTTACCTCCAGAATATCTATTTTCTTTTATCTTTGCTAATGGAATGCCAAATTTATTTAAAAGAACAATACTTCCAAGTTAAAACTGCATTGTTTAGGATCTCTTTCAGGTAGGGTTATAATGTTATATTGTGAAGAATTGGTAGTGTCTGAGATGTTGTCCCAATTGAAAGCTTACAAGTTAGACTGCCTCAGTTTCATGGATGCTGACAGAAGACCTA